TTTTTCATATAAAGTCCGATAGATTCCTCTCCTAACAAGCTTTATGCCTGGAGAACAAAGACTCCGTTGTGCTTTTTTTAAAACATTCTCCACTTTGGAAAGGGAAGGTTTTCATGGTTACTCGGAGATGACAGTTGATCTGCACCTCCGGGACTTCTGTGTTTCTCCTACTTGAAATGAAGTTACTGCATCTCTACAATTAAATAAGAATCATTTAGTCCTGAAGCTTAAGGTTCAACCACAAACTGATACTTATGCCAGTAGCACAACCACGGCTGACTCCAAGTCATTTTCAGTCTTTGAAGGTCTGCGATCGCTGATCATTTGGATGTTGCAGACCTTTAACATGCTAACATGGATGCTACAGATTACTATCGTTTACTCTATGTATAAATATGTGATTTGTCATGTAGGAAGAAAACTAATGTCTTTCGAAAGACGAGACCTGGAAATCTTTCTTCCTGGAAAACTGCTAGGTTTTAGCACAATAAATTCCCTCTTCTTCTAGCATGATGGATTCAGTTTATGTCAACTAGAAATGTTCTCTTAGATGTTACATTTAATCAAAAGACCTCCAAAAATAATGGGAAAATCACTTGTATATTGTGTATTGACTCCTCAAGACTTTACGTGGCCCACTTTAATAAAGCACCCCTACATGCCCTCCTTACCATCTTGTCTTGAATTGTGATTGTAATGTCTTCCTTATATTGTAAAGCGCTGCACAAACCGTTGCCGCTATATAAATCCTGTATAATAATAATACACGCACACAAATACGCACAGTGATGGTGAAACATATTAAGATAAATGCCTATCGAATGTGCAAAGCATATCGCTACACTTGCCAGTCCAAAAAAAAAATGAAACCATTGCTTTAACTTTTTGCACGGGACCCACGTCATGGACTATCTTAGGACATCTAAAATGTATAGGGCGCCGAATGAGAAAACTTGACTTTAACATCACGAGCGATGCCGTTTGTTCGCAGTTTAACACCCTTGCCTCAATTGTCATCTAAAGTAATCCCTAATTAGGATGTCTTAAAACAGACAAATTACAGCTATAAAAATGGGAATTTGCTTTTATCGAAACATTGTGCTTGACTACCAATAAAAAAAAGGCTTCTCAGGAAATGATAATGAATGCTAGCGGATTACGGGCAGGTTATTGTCTATCTAGAGCCCCCCCCTCTCCTCAAAGAAACAATGATATTAATAATAATAATATGTTTACACAAATGCAGGAGGCAGTAAATGCAAAAGTCGTGAGACCTGGTTTGAAAACGTATACCTTTGCTAATCCGCCTCTTATTCGCTGCATAACACATTAGAGACAATTACAAGGGCAGTTTAAATCCTCAAACAGAGCAGCTTTTGAAGGAGCTAAGCAAGCAGAAGCTTTTATGGCCTCTCTGGCATGTTCTGGATTTAATTCGTCGGTTGTAATAGAAAAGCTCTGCTAATTTAAAACTATTGCCTTTGTTCTTTTTTTATTTTATTATTATTATAAAAAAAAAAGAAATTGGTCGTAACCACTCCAATCTCCCAACATATCACCAAAAGTGCGATGAAATCCCACCGAGCGCCATGAAACACCAGGCTGAATTTTCATCGCCTGATTACTGTCAACCAATGGCAGAATCAGGAGCACCACATAGTCTATGACAGCAAAGATTTAGCTTAAAAGGCAGGGAAGGGTGTGCAAAGTGTTGTAACCAATAGCGACCAATCACTCCCTTTACCTTGTTCTGCATTTTCTGAACTCATGGAACACAAAATCTTATAGGTGCCCATCACCTTTGCCTTAATTTAAGACCTAAAAGTGGTCCATCATGCCTGCCTATGTTACCCATCAGCGACTTGATCTTGGGATATGTATTGATCCCAGAGGTGCTGTTCATTTTTTCCTTCGAATCGCCTAGTAGTTGTTTCAGAACATCTACTACTACTCCTTCTGGGAAAAATATATAACGTTACTTGTGTTCTGCTAAACTTTTGGTGCCTCCTTGTTAGACCCTTCACATTCGATATTCTTTTATGCCATTCAGGGTAACCTAAGACCTTTTTATTTTGCAACTTGGGTGAAAACTCCAATCCTAGCTGAGGATCACCATCTCAACATGGATGTCAGTGTTAAACATCCTGAGGTAGTCAAATATACATTTTTTTGGGAAGGGGTCTTCTGGAACCCTGTTATGAAAAGCTCTCCTGTGACCCAAGCATTAGTCTGTTCAATGCAGAGTTTCATTAGGCGTGAATGCAGAAAACCTTTTGACAATGACAGAATGCCAGCTAGAGGAACCACTAGTTCCAGCTTAGGTCTCCAGCCACTGGCCAGGAGAGCAGGCTGATGCTTGTAGTCCTTCAACAGCCTCCAAACCACAGGTTTCCTCGCAGCTTCAGGAAAGACTGATCCTTGACTGCCATGTTGCATGACTGAGACCTTCACAGAGAAAGCTTTTCTGAACAGAACACATTAAGTCTCGCCCAAGAACTTCTTCATTACTTGGCTCAACGTGGAATACAAATTCAGTACAACGGCATGGGCTCAGATCTTTGATCTCCACAACTGCACAAGCTGTGCAGCATAAAACCAATTTCACCGAACAGACAGCACAATGTTGCATATAAATTATACTTCAACCAAGGATGTCTTCCTCAACATCTCGCTGAGCCTATCTGAGAGAAGACAGGTGAGGGCTGTGATGCCTTACAGAAAATTGAGTTCATGTTGACAAGAGGGATGAAATTCAAGACACATGAATACCATTGTAGCTGCTTCATTGCCAGTTTATTAATGTTCTACCTGATGTCTCAGACACAATCCAAGCCATGTCAAGCCACAATCCCACCAACGCTCCATAGCCACCAACTAAGCACCTCTATTACAACAAAGCAGCTCAATCATTTTTATGTCGGGACCATTTTTCTCAGATCTTAATTCGATTTCCAAGCCACCGTAAATATGGCCAAACCCCAAAGTGTCATATACAATTTCACCTCTGTAGAGTCACCAAGTACTCTTGAAAACGCGGTTTTAGCAATTAGGCTCATTAAGCGAACCCAAACACCTGTGAACTTCCAAATCCCAACACCCCCATATGTTTAGCTAAGCGGGGAGGCTCTTAGCCTAGGAATTGGCACTTAGGAGTGGAGTGACATAAATCTTGGGATCTCAATGTATGCTGCCAATTTTTCCCTCTCTCAGAACAGATCATAATTCCGAACCCAATTTGTGACGTGCAACTTGGTGTAATGAATAATGTAGGCACCCAATACGGAGAATTATGGGCACCTTGCAGATGGGGAAAAAAAAAAACAGAGATAGATGTTCGTGACACCAAGAGATAGTTCCTGTGCTATTTAAAGCAGTCGTTCTTATATTTTATGGCTCCTGGAGCCTCGTGAAAGATGTATATTTGTCAGTCTGATTCTGTTAGAGATTGAAAATTTAAAGCCGCCCCTCGGAGATTGATGCGGAGGACCGGTTCCTGGTTATGTACGACTCGAGCAAGTGTGGCAAACGTTTTATTCTGAAATTGATTTCGCTCGGACACTACTTGTGCCTTGAATATATCTACAGCAGAGGCATTAATCAATATCACACTGCACAAGAGCAGAAATGCACCGCTAGGAGCTTTTAATTCTCAGGAATAACATTTTTTTAACATTTATTTATTTATCGTTGAGTTTCGATCCCTCGTGAACTTGATTGAAAATAAATAAATAAATACAATTGAACACCTGCTATCGATAAAATTAGCAGATTGCTGTGATTTTCTTGTTCTGGTGGCTGCTTGTGAATGTGTCACAGAGGTTGGGTAGTTTATTTTCTTTTTTTTTTTTTATCCCTTTTGCTTTCCACTTGCTCAACATAATAATACAGTGTTGGTGCTGAAAGACTGAGCTCAGCAGTCATAGAGAGCTCTGTTCATTGAAATATACAACAAACTGTTCAGCTTTACAACTGCCTGGACTCCTGCAAATCGACTCGGCGTGTTCAATACAGCACAGGCTTAGAATACAGGGGGCTTATTAGGATTCTCCCTACGACCGAGAGGGGATCCAACGGGCTATTAATCATGCAAATAGGCACCTTTAAAATAAGATAATAGATGATAGATGGGTATAGATAGATAGATAGATAGATAGATAGATAGATAGATAGATAGATAGATAGATAGATAGATTCTTAACCCTATAGCCAGATAAAGATATATAGATAGATGATAGATGGGTATAGATAGATAGATCCTTAACCCTATGCATAGTCTAAACCCACTACAGCTGTGGAATGCTCAGGATATGTGTACAGAAGATACACAAAATGCAATAGACATCCCTTCTCCTCTACACCTCGCTACCAGTTGCTTTTGCATTTCCCCCAGCCGCTCAGCCGCTGATCATTCCTATTACTCTTTCTGCACCGGGCGCTCTACCCCTCTCACCTCTCACTACTGCAGCCAAGAGCTTCCTTCCTGGCCATCCTACAATTTTTTTATATCTCCATCTCACAGCTGACAAATGTCCCAGCACTCTGTAGCAAGCAAGCTGCAATCTCAGAAACCCAAGTTGCCAATTGACAGCTCCTTCCTTACCTGTGCCTAGAAGGACAGGTGGAAAAAAATTCTGCACATCCCTGTGCAGCAGCAGCAGGGCACCACTGCATTAGAAACAGCGCACAGCTGTTCAGCCAGAGGGGAGATGAAGAGGCTACATTTTAGGTGGAGGTGAGAAAACATATTTTTTAGCCACCTGACATCAATGCAGCAATCACACACCTTCAGTATGAATCATAAAAAAAGAGCAATTGCAAAAAAAAAAATCCCCAATGCTCACCCACAGCACCTACTAAAAAACACACAAGCATCACTTTGTAAGCATCCCTTGCCCACATCCTAATTCATGCATAAGTGGCTGCTTGTAAACCCAAATTCTGCTTGTAGCAGGGGGTCTCAGCCCCCCCACCACCCTTTCCATACACGTTCTCCCCCTTACCTTTAATTCCTGCAAGGTGCAAATCGTGGCACAGCTCTGCAGTAACTCCACAGTATCATCTGGACGGTGACAGTCACACCGCTGGCAAGTTGAACCATTCAAAGCTATCCCTTCATTCAGCAGCTCCTTGCTCATTCCATGCAAGTCCACAGCAGCCAGCAAGAGAGGAGAAGGGAGGGAAAAAAATGACACAAAAAAAAAAAAAAAGAAAAAGAGAGAAATAAAAGCTGGGTTCTCCTTGCCTGAGCAGCCTGTATCCAAAGTTCTTGCAAAGAGTCTGTTAATTGCCTGTAGCTCAGCTGTCAGATATGCTATTCCACAACCCAGGGCAGGTGCTGCTGGATCTTCCTGCTCAAGTCTGCCAGGCTGCTAACAAGTTGGGATGATGATGATGGCACAGATCTGTTCCTTTTTGGCACAGAGAGGAGAGATGAGAGAGGAGGGCACCCTGGGGACAGGAGCCAGGCTCAGGTCACCAGAGATGGGGTGGTCAAGGCGGTGCAGCCTCTCTGTGCAGTGACAGGAGCTCTCTCTCTATGTGCGTGTGTGTGTCTAGCACAGACCTCAGACTATACATGCACTGACTACTGTCTGGTTACAGCAATGGTCCTGCCAGCATCCCTCTCTCGCACTGACATCACCAAGGGGGTGGGGTCTGGCATGCAAATGATAGAACCTTTCCCCAGATAGTTTTCTCTCTCTCTCTCTCTCTCTCTCTCTCTCTTGCTCTTAAAGGTATCTTGCTGAATGCCTCCACCATCAGTCCACTCGCTGCAAATCAACACTGCAGCATCCTTCCAGCTCTTCACATTTGGATTTTTTTCTCCCCCTCCTTTGTTCTGCAAGCATTGCTGGATCTATCTGCGCTACAGCTACATTGTTCAATAGCATTATGTTTCTTTTTCTGTCTTTATTTGTAACCATTCTGTTTCTTTCACATGATTTTAGTCCCCATTTCTAATCATTGTTTCCTGTATTTGTTTCTTTTTACTTCCTATTCCTAATCCTTCTGTTTCTTGTGTTTCTTCTTATTTCCTATTGCTAATCATTGTTTGTTTTATTTGTCTCTTTTTACTTCCTATTTGCAACAATTCTGTTTCTTTTGCTTCTTTTGACTTCCTGTTAGTAATCATTCTGTTTCTTTTTACTTCCTATTCGTAATCATTCTGCTTCATTTGTTTCCTTTTTACTTCCTATTTCTTTTCATTCTGTTTCTTTTGTTTCTTCTTACTTCCTATTTGTAATCATTTCGTTTCTTTCAGGTGTTTATTTTCATCTCATTGTTTCTTCTTTGTTATTTGTGTTTATTTGTAGTTCTCCACCCCTCACATTATTGTGTTTCTTGCCTGTGGGAAGGAGGCGCCGTGTGGGGATTTGATGTTGTGTATCCTGGATTTGTCTCGTTTTCAGTCTTCGTGGTTCAGTTTCGCGAGTGCTTATAACAGCTTAGTGGCTTTAAGTTAACCCCTCACCTCACAGTTTCCAAAGAGCGTGCGGGAAAATGAGCAAAGGGGGCATCATGTGACACTAAGAGATTACAAAAAACAAAACACTCTTGCCAAAGCATACTGCA